TGCGTCTGCACTCTGACAGAGGTGGTGAGTTCTCCTCCGACCTCCTGGCAGCCTTCTGTATGGAGCACGGCACCCGCCAAACGTTCACGCTTCCGGCCTCTCCGCAGCAAAATGGGGTTGCTGAGCGCCGCATTGGCTTAGTCATGGAGGTCGCTCGTACCTCCATGGTCCATGCGGCTGCCCCCCATTTTCTGTGGCCGTTTGCGGTCCGGAACGCTGCGCATCAGCTCAACCTCTGGCCCCGTGTCTCCTTGCCGGAGACCTCGCCCACCCTGCTGTGGACGGGGGAGGTTGGCGATGCGTCGCGTTTCCAGGTCTGGGGTGCTCGTGCCTTTGTCCGCGATACCACCGCGGACAAGCTCTCCGCTCGCGCCATTCCCTGTGTCTTCCTTGGTTTTCCCTCTGACGCGCCTGGCTGGCAGTTTTACGACCCCGCCTCGCGCCGTGTCTTTGCGTCTCAGGACGTCACCTTTGACGAGTCCGTTCCCTTCTACCGTCTCTTTCCCTACCGTACTTCCCCTCGCACCCCCCCGCCGCTCTTCCTCGCTCCAGGTCCTCCCTAGGTAGACCCCCTCCCCGTGCCAGGTCCTGCTCCTTCAGGTGTTTCTCAGGTAGACCCTCCCGTGCCTGCGCCTGTTGAGGTCACTGGTGACTCTGGTCCTGCTGGGGGTGGTGCCAGTCCTGGGAGTGCGGAGCCTGGGGGTGCAGACCTTGGAGGTGCGGAGCCTGGGGGTGCGGAGCTTGGGGGTGCTGAGTCTGGGGGTGCTGAGCCTGCGCGTGAGGAGCCTGGGGGTGCTGAGCCTGGGGGTGCGGAGTCTGGGGGCGCTGCGCCTGAGCGTGAGGAGCCTGAGGGTGCGGAGCCTGGCGGTGCTGCGTCTACGCGTGAGGAGACTCGAGGCTGCGCCTGGGGGTGCTGCGTCTGGGGGTGCTGAGCCTGCGTGTGCGGAGTCTGGGGGTGCTGATTCTGGGAGTGAGACGCCTGAGGGTACTGCGAATGCTGGTGCACAGACTCCTTGGAGCAGCCGCCTTCGTCCGCGTGTGCCTCTCACCTCACAGCAGCTGCACGACTGGTACGGTCGCCGTCAGGGCCTCGCTGCTGGAGCTCGGAGTTCTGCCGCTGGAGGTGCTTCTGTTGACATCCCTGGTCCCGGAGGTGCTCGTACTGGAGGAGCTGGAGCTGCTGGGGCTGGAGGCGCTGTGCTTGTGGGTGCTGCTGCTGGAGACACTGAGGCTGGAGAGCATGGGACTGGAGGTGCCGGTTCTGGGGGTGCTGCTTCTGGTGGGGCTGGTCCTGGCGCTGGGGGTTCTGGAGCTGCTGGGGTTGCTGGAGCTGCTGGAGATGCTGAAGGTGCTGGTGCTGGTGGCACTGCACAGCCGCGCCTGTTCTTTGCTCCGCCGTCTCCGTCGTCTCAGCCACCGCCTGACTCTATGCTTCGCCAGGTTCTTAGTCTACCGTTGTCCATTGGTCTTCCGTTACAGCCTGGCTCACCACTGCCTGCTCCTTCTCCTTACACTGAGCAGACTGGGGGTCTTGCTGAGCGTCGTGAGCCTGCGTCGCGTCCTGTCTCGCCTGTTCGTCCTGGTCGTACCGGTCGTCGTGTTCCTCGTCCGCGTCAGCCGGCTGTCCCCGGCACACACCTCGTAGTCCGTCGTCCTTCCTCTGCTCCGCAGTCTGTTCCTCTGCCGTCTCCCCCTGCGTCCTCTCTGCCTGACGTTCCGGACCCTGAGTCTGACCGGTTTCGTGCTGAGCACCCTACTGTCACGCGTCTGCTAGCCACTGTTGTCACTGACCCGTCGTTTGAGTCTGCTGCTGCGTCTGCCTTGGTCGCTGAGCTTGTTGACTTTGCTGCTGTCTGTCGTCTAGACTACGCTGCCAGTCTTGTCGCTGAGTCTGAGTCTGTCTGTCCTCCGTCCATCGGGGGTGAGTGTGCTCTTAGCACGGACGTCCTTGAGGACAGACAGGAGGACTTTGAGTGTCTTGCGGCTGCTGTACCTCATCTCACGGCCTGGCTGCTTGCACCTGAGGGAGACCCGGATGCACTGGACATCCCGACCCCGCGCTCTTACACAGAGGCGATTACGGGTCCCTACTCCTCTCAGTGGTAGACAGCCATGGACGCAGAGATGGCATCCTGGAAGTCCACAGGCACCTATGTCGACGAGGTTCCCCCTCCTGGGGCGAACATAGTCGATGGCATGTGGATTTTCAGGGTGAAGCGGCCGCCGGGTTCTCCGCCTGTCTTCAAGGCTCGTTACGTTGCTCGAGGCTTTAGTCAGCGACAGGGAGTTGACTTCTTCCAGACCTTCTCCCCTACCCCGAAGATGACCACTCTTCGGGTGCTGCTGCACGTTGCCGCTCACCGTGACTACGAGCTTCACTCTCTTGACTTCAGCACAGCCTTCTTGCAGGGCAGCCTGCACGAGGAGATCTGGCTGCGCCGCCCACCTGGCTTCACTGGGTCGTTCCCTCCTGGTACCCAGTGGAGCCTCCGGCGGCCAGTCTACGGTCTCCGCCAGGCACCGCGTGAGTGGCACGACACACTGAGGACTACACTTGCGGCTCTTGGGTTTGCGCCTTCGACTGCTGATCCGTCGCTGTTTCTGCGCACCGACACTTCGCTGCCACCGTTCTACATCCTCGTGTACGTCGACGACTTGGTCTTTGCCACTGCTGACACTGAGGCTCTTGCCCTGGTGAAGTCGGAGCTGCAGAAGAGACACACGTGCACAGATCTGGGCGAGCTGCGCAGCTACCTTGGCTTGCAGATCACCCGGGACAGAGCACGCCGCACCATCACACTGACTCAGTCACACATGGTGCAGCAGGTTCTTCAGCGCTTCGGCTTCACCTGGTCCTCGCCACAGTCCACTCCTCTGGCTACAGGTCACTTGCTCTCAGCTCCACCTTCGGACGAGTCCATAGAGCCGAGTGGTCCTTACCCAGAGTTAGTGGGCTGCCTCATGTACCTGATGACCTGCACTCGTCCTGACCTTGCGTACCCTCTTGGCCTTCTGGCCCGCTACGTGGCTCCTGGTCGGCACCGAAAGGTGCACTGGGATGCTGCGAAGAGGGTACTGCGCTACTTGTGCAAATCATCGGGCATGGGGCTCGTGCTTGGAGGGCGGAGAGACGTGGTTCTCACTGGGCACTCAGACGCTTCTTGGGTTGACGACCAGGCTACGCAGCGGTCGTCACAGGGTTACACCTTCAGCCTTGGTTCCGGTTCTGTTTCTTGGCGTTCTACTCGCTCGTCTTCTGTTCTCAGCTCCAGTTGTGAGGCTGAGATCTACGCCACAGCCATGGCTGCTCAGGAGTTACGCTGGCTCACCTACCTGCTGACCGACTTGGGAGAGAGGCCTCGTTCTCCTCCAGTTCTGTACGTCGACAACAAGGCCGCTATTGCCTTGTGTGAGGAGCACAGACTGGAGCACAGAACGAAGCGCATCGCTCTGCGTTACTTCCTGGCTCGAGAGTTGCAGCAGCGGGGTCAGCTTCGCCTTGCTCACGTGGCCACTCGGGCCAACACTGCTGATATATTCACCAAGGCACTTCCGTCTGGTGACCATCAGCGCTTCTGTACTTTGTTGGGCCTTGTGCCTACGTTTCCACACTTGCTGTAGACTCTGCCTGTACTACGATCTATATATATATATACCTGCATGCTTGCTCTTACTAGGTAGAGATCACTGTGCTGTTCTTGTTGCATATATACCTCTGCATGTGGACTGGCCTTGTGGCCCTTTGCTTGTGCTCAGTGTGTGTGGCGACGTTGTGATCCACCCTGAGCTTGCTTTGCTTTTCTTGACTGGTCTTGTGACCCCTTGCTCTCCCCCACTTTGCCTATGGGGGTGTGTCAAAATATGTATATGTTATATTTGTGGGTAGGCTGTAGTGGGGTAGATAATGTGGGGTACAACTCCTTAGGGTTTGCTCCTTGTACCAAACTCACTCGATAGTTGATCCACCTCACCCCTAGCTTCTAAGAAGGGCGACGCGAGGGACAGGGGAAGCAGCGCGCGGGCCGCAGGGGTCGTGCGCGGGGCAGTGCAGGCGGCGCGCAAGCAGTAGAGGCAGCGCGCGTAGCTGCAGGGGTGGCACGGGTGGGTACTACAGGGTAGGGTAGGCTGTGGGGTAACGCAGTAACGGGTGGGCCCTAACAGAAGCGGTCCTACGGACCTACTGCTCTGATAGCATGTTGAGAAAGTTAGGCATGAATGAATGAAGCTAGAAGGGGTTGGGATACAAAAGGAAACCCTAGAAATGTTGTACCCCATGTAAGCTACCCCACTGCAGCCTACAAACACTATTACAGTTTAACATATACACGCACTCGCGTAGCGGGGGGGCTTCTTGATGGGGGGGTAGTGTAAGGAATTTTCTCAATATTCCTTACCGCGATCGTCAACATCGCGTACAGCAGCAGCCGTTGTTCGCCCGTTACTGCTAACGGGGCTTCGCCAACTTCGCGCGCATTGTTTCATCAAACCATGCAGCGCTGGCCCGGCCAGGTCAGCCTACGCTTCGGGACGAGCCCGAACCTCGATGCCAGCATAGCACTAGCTAGCTCGCACGCACCGCGTTACCGTTTGCATGTTCGCACATTAGTATTCGCTCAATGCCTTCGCTCATACTTAGGGTACGTTCCTGCGGGGACATTTGTGTCACAAACCCAATTTTCGCCAAGGTACCGCTCTGTTCAAAGCGGTTTAATTCGGTACAGAGCGGTACTAAGGTAAAAATTGGGTTTGTGACACAAATGTCCCCGCAGGAACGTACCCTTAGTACTCGTTTGACACCTAGTGCAATCCTCTCTATCTGGTTCACCCGTAACAATCATAGAAGGTCCAGATGAATCTATTCGTACTCGATAGTGTAGTAGGAATGAGTCCCTACCCGTAGCTGTTTTAGGACGCGTCCCCTCAACGCCGATCTTGAGGGTGATCCTACGTTGGATCGATTTTTTGCGTGGTTAAAAAAGCTTCTAGAAGTTTTCAAAGCGATGTGCGTATCTGTAGTGCGGTGGAGGTTCGATTTTGGACGATCGATCGCAGGTTCGTCGTTCAGTTGACGATTCCGGTTCTACCATGTCCACCGCCATCCCCCCGCATACAGCCCCTCTGCGAGCTTTTCGCGCGCATCCTGCCAGGTTTCACCCATGATCGCATCACCGCTCTGAGAGCTGCGGAGGTCAGACTGGTCACGACGACCAGATTGTCAACTCTATCTCCATTTCAAGGCACAATTCGCGGCGGTGCTGTTCAGATTGTTCCCCATGGCACTGCTTCGCGCATCGCGAAGGTCCCTCGCTTGCTTCCCGCAAGCACTCGCGATCGCAGTCGTCGCATTGGTGTTTTTCGCAATTGGCTCGCTCGCGGCCGCTCTTCCGTCAATTCGCGGCGTCGCCCCTCAAGGCAAGCCCATCGCGCTGCGGTCGTGGCCCAAGATGACTCAACTGTCCACCGCACGCTGCCGTGTAGCCCGCAGGAGCGCTCGCGAGCGAGCGAGGGCGTAGTTGAACGGGAATGTCGCTGCAGCTTGCGTCGCGCGCATGTGTCCGCTCGCCCACTGCGCTCCGAGACCCGTGTAGCCACTTCGCTCGCCTTACCCCCACCCTTTCCCCACTGTCGCTTGTCGCTCCGCTCATCTCTCCTCTCCCCACTCCCCCCACCCCCCGCTTCTGCCCCTTCCCTCCCTCTCCATGTCCGCCTGCCCTGCGCCCTTCCGCCCTGCCGCGCCTCGCCTCACATACTCCCTGCCTCACATACTCCCTGCCTCACATACTCCCTGCCTCACATACTCCCTGCCTCACATGCGCCCCGCCTCACGCGCCTCACACGTCTCACGCGCCTCACGCGCCTCACGCGCCTCACGCGCCTCACGCGCGGCAGACGTGGCGTACTTCTCGGGCAGCGAGGTGCGGTGCCGCGACGGGTCGCGGTCAATCGCGGTGCAGCGAGTCAACGACGACTTCTGTGACTGCGCTGACGGCACCGACGAGCCGGGTGGGTTGCAACCCACCTCACCACTGGGGCTGGTGGGGGCGGGGCCGGGTTACCAGGTTACCATGGCTTCGCGTGTGTGTCCATTCTGGCCTCCTCTCTTCACTCCTCCCCACCCCACTCCAACCCCGTCCACCCCTCTCCACGCCCCCTTCTCTCCTCCGCACCCATGGCCCCCCTGCAGGTACGTCAGCATGCGCCCTGTCGCGCTTCTACTGCGCCAACCGCGGCCACATGCCTCTGACGCTCTTCTCCTCGCGAGTCAACGACGGCATCTGCGGTCAGTATGCTGCTTGCACTCATGCATGCGCTGTAAAGTGATGCCCTCTGTGCCTTGATGCCGTGTCGGGTGAGTGCATGTCACAACGCACGAGAGGCATGTGCTGGCGTGAAGGGCATGAGTCTCCGCTAGTGAGTGAGTGCACCATCGCGCCCTTCCGCACCCACCACTGTCTCTGCCTTTCCCATTCGCCTCACACTCCGCCAATGCTGTGCCTTCAGCCCCCCCTTCCTCTCTGCTCCTCCTTTCCTCTCTCGCGCCCCTCGCCCGCTCTGCCCCGCGCCCATCAGACTGCTGTGACGGGTCGGACGAGTACGCCACCGGGGCGGGCTGCAACAACACGTGTGTGCAGATGGGCGCGGAGACGCGCACCCAGCTGGCAGCTGAAGTGGCGACAGTGAGGGAGGGCGTGAAGCTGCGAGGCAAGGCGGTGGTGGGGCACGTGGCGCTGCGGGAGAAGTGGGAGCGCGAGGTCACTGACCTGGAGGAGCGGCGCGCACAGCTGGTGGAGCAGGAGAAGGCGCTCAAAGGTGAATGGCTGTTGCTCTCTCACAGCTCACCCATCACACGCATGCGTGCCCCACCACCTCACCGTGCCCCACCACCTCACCGTGCCCCACCACCACCTCACCGTGCCCCACCACCTCACCGTGCCCCACCACCACCTCACCGTGCTTGACCTCATTCTACCTGCCTGCCCTTTCTTGTCCACTCCTACCCCACCTCTTTCTCCTCCCCATTCCACACCCCAACCCAACCCCGTATCCGTTTGCCCTTCTGTGCGTATCTCTTTCTGGCCTTTGGCTACGCAACGCACCTGCCTCACTGCGTCGCCTCCATCTGCCGCCCAACCTGCCACCCACTTTCCCATCTTGCTGCCGCCCGCTCGCCGTCCTGCTGCCCCCGACTGGGCACCGTCACCATGCCACTCCTCCCCCCCACCGTGCGGGCATGGCAGAGCACATCCACTCGCTCGTCGCCTCGGCCTCCCTGCCGCCCTCGCTGCTCCTCCTCGCGCTGCTCGCCCTCCTCCTCTGCCACCGCCCCCTGCGCGCGCTGCTGCTCGCCCCCCTCTGCGCCTGCCTGCGCATGTGCCACCGCGCCATGGCCTCGCTCTGCCCCTGCCTTGCCGCCATGAGCACCAGCCGCAGGCGGATTCCACCACCACCACCACCACCACCATGCTGGGCGGCGGCGCTCAAAGCTGCTACAGTGACAGCCGTGCTGCTTCCATCACCCATCTTTGACTGCTGCCGCTGCCCTGCTGCTCAGCCCCACGGTGTCGTCCAGTAGAATGCACAGCGGCCAATGGGGAGAGCAGACCAGACACTGCCATTTATGACTTACTTGCATGTGCCATAACAGCCAGTTAGCTAGCTACCTCCTTAGGAATACGATCGCCTCAGCTGAAACTTGGTTTGCTCTTCAACTGCAGTGGACTCAGAATCGCCACGTTGTAGATTCGTCTCAAATCAACTTGTATCTGAACGAGTTTAGTTCAGTCTGATTGACTGCTATGATTGACATGACACTGGCACCTCTCTCTTTTGTGCTTGCCTCGTCTGTTCCTCGCATGTTCTCTCTTCTCCTTCTGCTCGTTGCCATTGTCTTCCCACTTGCCCTTCTCTCCGCATCCATCGCTCTCCCCCCCACCCCAAGACTGGTCTTTCTCCTCCTCGTATGCTCTTTGCTGCCTTGTCTTCTACTCACACACACTCACTCATTCACCCTAACACCCATCCGTTCCCCATTGAATGCCACTCACTCCCATCGTCAATATGTTACTGCTGCACACATCTGCAACACCCCCCACAACACCTCTCCGCTGCTGCTCTTTGTGCGTGCATGTGCGTGTGGATGTGAGTCTGCATGTGCGTGTGCTTGCATGTGTTTTTTACTGCGTGCACATGTGTGTGAGCATTCGTGTGCGTATGTGCGCATGTGTGTGTGTGTGTGTGTGTGTGTGTGTGTGTGTGTGTGTGTGTGTGTGTGTGTGTGTGTGTGTGTCTGTTTGCGTGCTTGCATGAGTGCATATGTGCGTGCCTGTGTGTGTGCGTGCGTGTCTGCTGTGTGCATGCATGTGGGGTGGGAGTGCAGCACGCAAGGAGGAGTTGGAGCGGCAGGAGGGGAGGGAGAGGGCGTGGAGGGCGAGGCTGGAGAGGGAGCAGCGCGCCCGGGACGCGCTTGTGGCGCACTCCCGCCCAAAGAGAATCGCTGCTGCTCTTGATGGTGGCGGCAGTAGTGCTGGTGAGGGTGGAGAGAGTGGCGGTGGTGGAGAGGAGCAGGTGGCAGCAGGGGCAGAGGAGCTGTGGACTGGCGGCCATGGGGCCAATGGGGCAGATGGCGGGGATGGTGGTGCCAGTGCTGTGGAGGGCGCAGGGAGCGAGGAGAAAGCGCAAGGAGACGAGGGAGCAGCAGGGGGCGAGGGGGAAGGAGGCAGCGAGGATTTGTCTGGTCTGTCGAAGGAGGAGATGGGGCGACGGATTGCGTCCCGATGGACTGGCGGGGGGGAGGGCGGGCAGCAGCACGAGGAGCACAGCGGGCATGCTGCAGAGCACAGCGGGCATGCTGCAGAGCAAGGTGTGGCGGATGAGGGCTTGGCACCCCCTGATGTGGGCTATGGTGATCCGGATGCGGTGCAGAGCGGTGATGATGATCTTGATCATGACGACGACCATGATTATAGTGGCAGTGATGATGATGAGTACAAGGAGGATGTTAATAACGAGGATGAGGACTACAGCAAGGATGGTGAGGAAGACGTGGACGTGGATGGGGATGCAGAGAGTGAGGGGGAGGAGGAGGCAGCGGATCTGGAGCAAGGAATGGGGGCAGGGGGAGGGGGAGCGGATGAGGGCACGGGAGGGGCAAGGGGGGATGGCGGAGGGGCGGAGGAGGAGGATGGGGAGGAGGGCGAGGTGAGTGCGGAGGAGTTGAAGCAGCTGGAGGAGTTCAACCCAGATGACCCGCCAGGTGAGATGACCCGCCAGGTGAGATGACCCGCCAGGTGAGATGACACGGTGGGTGAGATGACACGGTGGGTGAGATGACACGGTGGGTGAGATGACACGGTGGGTGACATGACACGGTGGGTGAGATGACATGGAGGGTGAGATGACACGGTGGGTGAGATGACATGGTGGGTGAGATGACACGGTGGGTGAGATGACGCGGTGGGTGAGATGACACGGTGGGTGAGATGACACGGTGGGTGAGATGACACGGTGGGTGAGATGAGACGGTGGGTGAGATGACGCGGTGGGTGAGATGACACGGTGGGTGAGATGACGCGGTGGGTGAGATGACGCGGTGGGTGAGATGACACGGTGGGTGAGATGACACGGTGGGTGAGATGACACGGTGGGTGAGATGACACGGTGGGTGAGATGACGCGGTGGGTGAGATGACACGGTGGGTGAGATGACACGGTGGGTGAGATGACACGGTGGGTGAGATGACACGGTGGGTGAGATGACACGGTGGGTGAGATGACGCGGTGGGTGAGATGACGCGGTGGGTGAGATGACGCGGTGGGTGAGATGACGCGGTGGGTGAGATGACACGGTGGGTGAGATGACACGGTGGGTGAGATGACACGGTGGGTGAGATGACGCGGTGGGTGAGATGACACGGTGGGTGAGATGACACGGTGGGTGAGATGACACGGTGGGTGAGATGACACGGTGGGTGAGATGACACGGTGAGTGAGATGATACGGTGGGTGAGATGAGACGGTGGGTGAGATGACGCGGTGGGTGAGATGACACGGTGGGTGAGATGACACGGTGGGTGAGATGACACGGTGGGTGAGATGACACGGTGGGTGAGATGACACGGTGAGTGAGATGACACGGTGGGTGAGATGAGACGGTGGGTGAGATGACGCGGTGGGTGAGATGACGCGGTGGGTGAGATGACACGGTGGGTGAGATGACACGGTGGGTGAGATGACACGGTGGGTGAGATGACACGGTGGGTGAGATGACACGGTGGGTGAGATGACACGGTGGGTGAGAAGACACGGTGGGTGAGATGACACGGTGGGTGAGACGACACGGTGGGTGAGATGAGACAGTGGGTGAGACGACATGGCGCATGAGTGATTATACGGTACATCAAGGCAGTGAGATGGTTAGATGATACTGTAGGCTACACGAGATAGTGCGAGGGCGATGAAGGGCTGATTCGAGAAGAGTATGCACCCACGTGCTTCTTCACAAAATATGGTTTGATGGATAAGGTGCAATCAGCAAAATCCTAGGAGAATTTATCCAAATTGTGGGGCTATTGGATGGAGCAACACTTGTCTCTCCTGATATCATAATCTTCTGCTTTCACGTGCATGTGCCTGCCTGCTTTCTGACCATTTTCATTCAACATTCTCGCCTCCCATTCCCCTGTGCCGCTCATCCAGCCGTGACACCTGTCAGCGTCTGGTTGGCTCGCACCCTCCACTGGCCCATGGCCGTGTGTTCCCGCCTCTACTCCCTCGCTGCCCCCACGCCGCCCCTCACTCTGAACGCCTCTCGTGAGTGCCGCCCCGAACTCTGCCAGCACAGCAGCATGGCAGATGGCAGCATGGCTTGCACATGCACCAATGCACACTTTGCCAGAACGTGTTTTTGTGAGTGGCTGTCGACTCACACAACAGAAGCATCGTTTCATTGCAGATTGTGTGAGTAGTGTTAATGCACAGCGCACTCCACTAGTATCTCTGTGACTCAACACTTCACACAATTGCTTCCAAGTGCTCATGCTCTTGCCTTCTGTTGACTCTCTGCTTTTATTTCCCGTGTGTGTGTGTGTGTGCTGCACGCATGCCCGTCTGTGTGCGTGTGTCCATACATGAATGCACGTGTGCGTGCGTGCGTGTGTGTGAGTGCATGCATGCGTGCATGTGTGTGTGTGTGCGCGTACATACATGCGCGTGTGCGTGCGTGTGTGTTTGAGTGCATGCATGCGTGCATGTGTGTGTAGTGCATGCGTGTGTGTGTGTGTGTGTGTGCGTGCCTGTGTGCAGGGGTGTGTGTGTGTGTGTGTGTGTGTGTGTGTGTGTGTGTGAGTATGTGTGTGTGTGCATGGGTGCATGCGTGCGTGCGGTGAGCACCCCCTTACCCCCGTCACACACCAGGCGTGGAGGCAGCGCGGGAGGAGCACAGGGGGGTGGAGGAGCAGCTGAGGAAGGCGAGGAGCCGCGCCAAGGTGCTTAAGGACAAGCTCAAGCGCGACTATGGTCAGTTGTGAGGCGTGTCACCCAGTGCGGGAGGTGTAGGGGGAAGTGCGTTGGTTTTTTGTGCAACCTGACACCTCACCTCCATGCACTGTACACTGCTGACATGATACGTACCCCCCTTGGGGCTGCTTGCTTTTGCTGTTTCTGCATCCTCTTACTTGGCAGCAACAAAGGCGCTGATGGTTCAGGAAGTGGAACAGAGGGGCCACGACGTGCCTCTACTCCTCATACTCTTCAACCTTCTTGTTCCTCAGCACCAAATTTTGTTCTTTCATCCCCTTCACACCCCCCTCGTCTCCTTCACGTACGCCCATCCCCATGTGTCCCCCATCCCATGTGCTCCTCGTCCCTGTGCCCCTTCACAGGGCCGCACGGGGAGTTCTCCAACCTCGTGGACCGCTGCTTCTCCTTCAACGCCAACCAGTCAGGCCCCCTTTCGCACCCCCCAAAGCGCTGCACACACTTTCTCGTTACTTGCCTAGCTTACCCACCTCGGCTGCTTCGTGCCATGTTCACCCTGTGTGCAACGGATGTCCCTCCTTTAAGGGAGTCGCTTGCATGCCTTGCATGCCTCCATTGTATGCTTCCTTGCCTGCCTCCCTTGCATGCCTCCTTTCTGTGCCTCTCTATCATGCCTCTCTTGCATGCCTGTCTCCCTTTTGTCTGCATACTTTGCGGTTCACTTTTCTTTTCGCTTTGGACCGATCCCGCATCCCACGCCTGCATGTGTTTGTTGCTGCGCACGCGCTGGTAACCGTGCTCTTGCTTCTTTCCACCCGTGTGTCCTGCATGGGCCGCTGCACGGAGCAGGTACACGTATGAGATCTGCCCGTACAAGAAGGCCGTGCAGAAGGAAGGCCACTCCGAGACGACTCTTGGGTGAGTCATTGTGACGACATCATTGCATGGTGGCATCGTCACTGTGACGATCATTGCATGTTGGCATCGTCACTGTGACGATCATTGCATGGTGGCATCGTCACTGTGACGATCATTGCATGGTGGCATCGTCACTGTGACGATCATTGCATGGTGGCATCGTCACTGTGACGATCATTGCATGGTGGCATCGTCACTGTGTCGATCATTGCGTGGTGGCATCGTCACTGTGACGATCATTGCATGGTGGCATCGTCACTGTGACGATCATTGCATGGTGGCATTGTCACTGTGACGATCATTGCATGGTGGCATTGTCACTGTGACGATCATTGCATGGTGGCATCGTCACTGTGACGATCATTGCATGGTGGCATTGTCACTGTGACGGCACCGTGGTATGAAGGAGTGACGGCATCATTCCGTGGTGGTGGTGCAATCGTGTTGGGGCATGAGGGGAGGTGGGAATGAATCAGGAGGTAACTGATGTTGGGGAACCGACCAAATGTGTAAGGCTGATACATTCCATGCGTATGAGGTGTGTTTTAGACGTTTTGATAATGACCGTTCATGGTGTGTTGCCAAAATCTACACTGTTCATCCCATAACCCCCTTCCGATTTCACCTTCCCTCCTCTCTTCATGCACCCTTCCCTACCTTCGCCCAATCCTCCTTGGCCCCCACTGAACGTGTGTGTGGCGGGCGGGCGGGCGGGCAGGCACTTCAAGCGGTTTGAGGAGGGGCACACGGTGATGGCGTTCGAGGATGGCGAGCACTGCTGGAACGGACCGGCTCGGAGCATCAAGGTGAGCATCCATGCATCTTTTGCTGCCCCTGCTCGCTCCACCCTCAACACCCCCACCTGCTCCATCCCTTCATTAGCCGCACACCCTTCTCACTACCCTCCCCGCCCCTTCCCTCCGAACCCTTCCGCCGTCCCCCCTGTGGTGCATGCACGGCCATGGCATGGCATGGCATGGCATGGCATGGCATGGCATGGCATGGCATGGCATGGCATGGCATGGCATGGCGTGGCATGGCATGGCATGGCATGGCGTGGCATGGCATGGCGTGGCATGGCATGGCATGGCATGGCGTGGCATGGCAGGTGGCATTCAAGTGCGGGGCGGAGGTGGCGGTGCTGGCGGTGGACGAGCCCAACCGCTGCGAGTCAGTTGCCCCTCTCCCTCTCCCTCTGCCCTCTCTCCCATTCACTTCCTTCTTTCACTCTAACTACGCTCCACTCTCTTCCCCCAACTTACTTCACTACTCTCACTTGCCTTCACTCGCTTTCTGTTCACCCATTCTCTCCACTCAAATCTCTCCGCCCAGTTCCATCCACTCTCTTCCTCTTCTATCGCTGTCACTGGTTGTCCTCCATTGTGTCCCTCCCCCACGCCTTTCCCCACATTGACACGCACGCTCCCCTCGCCCCACACACTGAAGCTGCTCCTTCTGGTGAATTTGCATGATTGGACGAGAAAGGTTGCAAGCACGAGTGACTCAGGAGGGTGCGAGTTAAATTGAGTCAAGCATGTGCGCACACATTGTGTTGCATGTACATTGTCGGGCCGAGGGCCGAAAGCGAGTGGTGAGAAGCAACAGTAGATGTGGTGTAGTACGAGCAGCAGTATCCAATATGGGTCATGCCATGCCATGCCATGTCATGCCATGCCATGCCACGCTGTACCCTCTTTTTCATTGTGCTGTCCATGCACCACCCATCACCCCCCTCGCATCTCACCATCACCATCACTATCTCCCATCTCCCCATCTCCTCGTCTATGATGCTCCTCACCAAAAGCCGTCTCCCTCCCACCTTCCCCCCCGCCACCGTGTGCTGCCATCAGGTACGCGGCCACCATGACCACGCCGTCCGTTTGCACCGAGGAAAAAGCCAAGGTGGGCCGCCCGCCTCCGCAAGCCCTCCTTCCGAACCCCCGAAAATGGCCTTTCTTCTGAGACTGCATTCCTCCCGCCTTGCGCCCTCTTCACCCGCTTGGTGTAGCACCTTGGCGTCACTGTGTTGAGCCAAGCTCTTCAATCCAAGCAGTCTCTGCTGCCCTTCTTTCCCCTCGTCCATTACCACTGCCACCGAACTCTTATCGACTCAGACCCCTCCGCTCACACTCCCTCACCTCCGTTCACAGCCCCTCACGTCTCCTCTTCCACCCCCTCGGCTCCTCACACCCTCTCATCTCTTCTCACCCCTCCACCTCCTTTCGCACGCCTCTGTATCTCTCCCTCACCACCTTGCGCAATACCCCCCCCCCCCTGTGCTGTTGGGCAGGAGCTGGAGCAGCAGCTGGAGGCAATGCTGCACGACATTCAGCCCACCCATGATGAGCTCTGATGCACCCATTCCTAGTCTTATAAAGCCTACCGTAACAAGTTACGGTATGGTGCGGTAGGGTGGTGACGATGTTCATAAGAGGAATCAACACTGAGATTGAAAGCTCACATGCTTGAACGTATAAGAGGCTGATAGAAAGCAGCATTGAGATAACTACTGTACTGTGCTGAGAAAAGGCCATCAAGCACCTCTCTGGAAGGAAAGTGCACTAGAGAAAACAGAGCACTGTTGCTTGAGTTGAGAGAATGAAATGTGTGACAGGCTGTTCCTCACCACCACACAATGACTGGAGACACACACAATGCATAGTGAGGGTATACCGTAATCACCCGGATAAAAGCGCCGTCCTATTAAAAGCGCCGGCGCTTCTATCTGGAGCCATGCGCTTATGGCCGGTCCTCAATTATAAGCGCCCCCCCTAGGAAACCTTTACTTATTATAAGCACACGTACATTTTTTATATAAAATTCTGTACAAAACGGGTAACGAATTTCATTTTTGCAGCGAGTCAAATCTCATTTTCGCTTCGTTTGACTCGCGAAGACCTAACTGGCTGCGCGTCCAGTCAGGATGTGCTGGCATGCCTGCACAGTGACGCGAATTTGCCTGTGTGCAGGAAGCAGAATCGCTTCCGCGCGATTCTGCTTTGTGACGCTCTATTATTTCGACTCAATTGAAATGGCAACAATGAAAGGTACAGTTTGCTACCCTAAAAGTATAAATTTGTATTTGTCATTTTATAAGCACATGCGCTTATGCCCGAAACTCAATTATAAGCGCCCCCCTTAAAATTTTTTATTTTATTATAAGCGCATATGCGCTACTATCCGGGGGGATACGGTACCACCCGCCGAAATTGAACACCCCCCGGGTGGCTTGTGCGGGGTGGGTGCTATAGCGGACCTCGTTGTCAGAGGTCCACTGGAGATCCCCGATTGATCTTAGGGCAGGGTTACAGGCACGTCGACCTGGGGGGTTATGGGCGCACTCACCCGCTACACAAACAAGCCCTTTTATCCCAGTGGTTAGTGACTGGGATTCTGACACTCGTTTCTACTATACCCCCCTTTTGGGCCGATCCGGTATAAGACCCGGGGGGGGGGGTGTTATGTACGGAAAAAAAATGATGTTTTCACCTAAATTTTGCGCAGGGACGTGACCGCACCAGCGAGGCTGCTAAGCCTGTTGCGGGACTCCCGCCTCTGTGACTGCATGAATCCTCGTCGAGCGACGGGGGGTGTGTTTTCGACCAATCAGGGCATGACAGAGGGCCTGTTGGAGCTTGCAATGTGGCAGCTTCCACTCGAGGCTAAGGGCGTGTGCACTAGGGGTTCGAATTTCTGTCTAAGTTCGAACTTTTAGCGAGGTTCTACTCGGTGCAAAGCGGTGAATGTTCGAACTTTGACAAATTTCGCCCAAAGTGCACACGCCCTAACGTTATCGCCTCATCCTCGGTTTTGCGCACCCAACCAACAATCTACCACCGCAGCAAGCATGTACATTTTGTTCCCAACCGTTTCTGCTTTAAAAAAAATGTACATGTCAAACTATATATGCATGTTGGCTTTGTCTAGGCTGTAGTGGGGTAGCACTAGGGGGTACAGAAATTCTCTCGACATTCTCTCTTGTACCCCCCCCCCCCCTTTGACCTAATCCACTCATTCGTTCCTAGCCTAAGTTCTAAGATGGTATCTAGAGCAATAGGTCTTAGGACCTAAGATTTGGGCCCACCGGTTACAGTGTTACCTCACCTACGTCTCATCAGCCTTGCCTGCTGCCCGCGCGCGCCTCGGCTGAGCGCGCCACTGCTGCCACCCGCGTCGCGCTCTGCTAGACGCCCGCGCAGCCCGCCCTGAGCCCGCGCAGCTCGCACGCGGCCTGCAGCAGCCCCACGCACCGCCCGCGCAGCCCGCGTCAAGCCCGCGCAGCCCACGCCGAGCCCACACAGCCCGCGCGCAGCCCGCAAAGCCCGCGCGCGGCTCGCGCACTGCCTGAGCAGCCCATGCCGCGCTCTTTCATCCCGCGCGCAGCTCGCAGCCGCGCGTGCCCTGCCCTGCCTGTGCGCCACAGCCACCCGTGCGCCTGCCTGCCTGCCTGCCTTGAGCGCCTGCCTGCCTTGAGCGCCTGCCTGCCTTAAGAGCCTGCTCCATAAGCCTCCTGTCTGAGTCTGCAGCCTTTACCTGCTGCCTGAGCCTGCTATCAGTTGCCGGCGCCACCATATTGCCTCACCTGCGCCTGCCTGCTGCCTTACCCTAAAGACTTGGCCTGCTACTTGAGCCTGCTGCCTGATCCTGCCTGCTGCCTGAGCCTGAGCCTGTGCCTGCTGCATTTCCCCGCCCTGTGACCATGGCGACTATTTCTGTTCTCGACTTTGAGCCTGACGGTAGTCCTGTTCAGTTTGACACCTGGCTCAGTGACCTGCAGCTCTACCTTTTGACCAATACCAAGGACGGAGCCTCTCTGCTAGACTATGTCAATGGCACTGCCCCTGCTCCCGCTGCTACTGCTCCTGCCTCTGAACGCGCTGAATGGCAGACCCGCGATGCCCTTGCCCGCCTAGCTATTCGCAACCACCTGCCTATCTCCGAGCGCGCACACTTCAACCAGCTTAAGACTGCTAAGGAACTGTTTGACGCTGTAGTTGCCCGCTATTCCGCCCCAGCCACTGCCGCCGTTGGTAGCCTCATCCTACCCTACCTTTTCCCCGACCTCGCCTCGTTTTCCACTGCTGCAGACCTCATCTCTCACCTCCGCACTAGTGACGCTCGCTTTCGTGCCGCTCTCTCTGACGAGTTCCTCGCCGAGAACAAACCCCCCCTGTACTTTACCCTCTACATCCTAGTCACCCGCCTTCCCGACACGCTCCGTTCCGTTAGGGACTACTTCCTCGCCAAAGACCCTCCCACCATCACCCTAGATGACTTCGAGCAGCAGCTAGTTGCAGCTGAGAAGAACATTCTTGCTGTGAATGCTGCTCGTGGCACTCCCCGCACTCCCCTCTTTGAGGGATACTCCCCCTCCCCTCTAACCCCCTCCTATGCCTCTGCTGCTGCTGCTGTTGACCTTCTCGGCGCTGAGAAGGTCCGCGCCGCTTCTGCTCTTGGTGGGAAGCGCGGCGGAGGCAAGGGGGGCAGGGGTGGCGGAGGTGGCGACGGTGGGGGCGGTGGTGGAGGCGGCGGGGGTGGCGGCGGTGGTGGGGGTGGCCGTGGGAGTGGAGGTGGAGGGTGGGGTGGTGGCAGGACCGGGGGCGGTGGTGGCGGCAGCGGAGGTGGTGGGGGAGGAGGCAGCGGCACTGGTGGTGGAGGTGGGGTTGGGGGTGGATATGGCCAGAAGGGTGGCGCTGGTGGCGGCCAGCAGCAGCAGCAGCAGCAGCGTCCGCCTCCCACCTCCCAGCAGCTCCATGACTGGTATGCTGGGCGTGGGGCGTCTAGGGGCTCTGACCGCTGCCCCTATGTCATTCGCACAGGTCCCCGCCAGGGTCGCACCTGCGACGGTTTTCACACCGAGTTCCGCTGCTTCGCTAGGCTTAGTGACGCCTGGCGCGCAAAGTATCCTGATGCTACTGAGTTCCCCAACTGGGCAGATCTGCTTAGGCGTGGTGTTCCTATCTTTGATCTAGACTATGATGCTATTCTTGCTGCTATGTATGCATTGACTGTTAGTGCTGAGGGTGACTGTTACTTGTGTGTGCCGCCTGACCCAGGTATAGAGACTGCAGCCCTAGGTGCTAGTGAGTCTGCTCTCCCTGGTACTGCGTCCGCTCAGGCTTTGCACACGTTCACACTTGACTCTGGTGCTTCGCGCTGTTTCTTTCGCGACAGCACCACTGTCACCCCTCTCCCTGCACCTGTTCCTGTCTCACTGGCTGACCCCTCTGGGGGTCCAGTGCTTGCACGGGCCGCGACTGTGCTTCCGTGCCCAGCGGTCCCGTCTGGTGAGCTGTCTGGTCTCCATGTTCCCTCGTTCTCTACGAACCTGGTGAGCAACGCCGTCCTTCAGGATCACTGGGTTGACACCTGGACTCCTGGAGGACAGCGTGTGGCGATCTGTACATGCTCCAAGACCGGCCGCCACCTGGCCACGTTCACACGTGAGCCAGGGTCCAGTCTGTACACCCTCACCACTGTTTCACGCTACACTCCTTTGTCTCCACAGCTGTACGCGTCTGCTCAGGTTGCTACCCAGTGTGAGTGCCGCCGCCTGTCCCACGACACTCTCCTGTGGCACCACCGCCTTGGTCACCCCTCCCTGCCTCGCCTTCGTAGCATGCACTCTCGTTGCCTGGTCTCTGGCCTTCCCAGGTCTCTCCCTGCCCTCCCTCCCTCGCCTGCGCCGCCCTGCATTCCTTGCGTCGAGGGGCGGCAGCGCGCCGCTCCTCACTCCTCCTCGTTCCCTCCCACAGAGGCTCCACTGCAGACTCTCCACCTGGACGTGTGGGGCCCGGCCCGCGTCCAGGGGCAGGGCCGTGAGCGGTACTTCCTGCTGGTAGTTGACGACTACACGCGCTACACCACGGTCTTCCCCTTGCGCAGCAAGGGGGACGTCCCTGCTGTTTTGATCCCCTGGATCCGCGCTGCTCGTCTCCAGCTCCGTGAGCGGTTCCAGTCGGACTTTCCTGTCTTGCGTCTGCACTCTGACAGAGGTGGTGAGTTCTCCTCCGACCTCTTGCGAGCCTTCTGTGCGGAGCACGGCATCACCCAGTCGTTCACGCTTCCGGCCTCTCCGCAGCAGAATGGGGTTGCTGAGCGCCGCATTGGCTTAGTCATGGAGGTCGCTCGTACCTCCATGATCCATGCGGCGGCTCCCCATTTTCTGTGGCCGTTTGCTGTCCGGTACGCAGCGCATCAGCTCAACCTCTGGCCCCGTGTCTCCTTGCCGGAGACCTCGCCCACACTGCTGTGGACGGGGAAGGTTGGCGATGCGTCGCGTTTTCGGGTCTGGGGTGCTCGTGCGTTTGTCCGCGATACTACTGCGGACAAGCTCTCCGCTCGCGCCATTCC